CAACTTCTTCCTAGAAACATCGCCAAAGGCAAGGGAAGCAAGGGCAAAAATGAACTATTGGGACTTCATCAAGATAAAAAGCTTTTGCACAGGACAGGAAACAGTCAACAAAACCAAAAGACAACCAACAGAGTGGGAGAAGACATTTGCAAATGACATATCAGATAAAGGGCTAGTATCCAAAATCTATAAAGAACTCATCAAACTCCACACCCAAAGAACAAATGATCTGATCAAGAAATGGGCAGAAGACATGAACAGACATTTTTCCAAAGAAGACATCCAAATATCCAACAGACACATGAAAAAGTGCTCAACATCGCTCGGCATCAGGGAAATCCAAATCAAAACCTCAATAAGATACCACCTCACACCAGTCAGAATGGCTAAAATTAACAAGTCAGGAAATGACAGATTTTGGCAGGGAAGCAGAGAAAGGGGAACCCTCCTACACTGTTGGGAATGCAAGCTGGTGCAGCCACTCTGGAAAACAGTATGGAGGTTCCTCAAAATTTGAAAATAGAGTTACTGTACAGCCCAGCAATTGCACTACTGTGTATTTACCCCAAGGATACAAATGTAGTGATCTAAAGAGTTACGTGCACCTCAATGTTTATAGCAGCAATGTCCACAATAGCCAAACTATGGAAAGAGCCAAGATGTCTATCAATAGATGAATGGAAAAGGAGATTTGGTATATATATATACAATGGAAGAGTATACTAGCAGCCATCAAAAGGAACGTAATGTTGTCACTTGCAACGACATGGATGGAACTAGAAGGTATTATGCTCAGTGAAATAAGTCAGTCAGAGAAAGACATGTATTATATGATCTCATTGATATGAGGAATTCTTAATCTCAGGAAACAAACTGAGGGTTGCTGGAGTGGTGGGGGTGGGGAGGGATGGTGTGGCTGGGTGATAGACATTGGGGAGGGTATGTGCTATGGTGAGTGCTGTGAATTGTGTATGACTGTTGACTCACAGACCTGTACCTCTGAAATAAATAATACATTATATGTTAAAAAAAATGAAGATAGTAGGAAGGGAAAAATGAAGGGGGGAATTGGAAGGGGAGAGAACCATGAGAGACTATGGACTCTGAGAAACAAACTGAGGGTTCTAGATGGGAGGGGGTGGGGGGATGAGTTAGCCTGGTGGTGGGTATTTAAGAGGGCACATATTGAATGGAGCACAGGGTGTTATATGCAAACAATGAATCATGGAACACTACAGCAAAAACTAATGATGTAATGTATGATGATTAACATAACATAATAAAATAAAATTAAAAAAAAACAAACACCATATATGTGGTTTGTTAGTGTTACAGAATCTAAACACATGCATTCTGTGTACTAATGTTACTCTGAATTCATCTTAACTCTCATATTATCATTTTACCTTTGCTCTGATATTTCATCTACTAATCTTGCTAAAACTATTAACTTCTTTTGCTGTATATATTTTATTTTATTTTTTTCAAGATTATTTATTTGAGAGAGAGAGAGAGCGTGAGCACAGAGGGAGAGGGAGAAGCAGTCTCCCCGCTGAGCAGGGAGCCAATGCTAGGTGGGGCTCTATCCCAGGACCCAGAGATCATGACCTGAGCTGAAGGGAGATGCTTAACCGACTGAGCCACCCAGGTGCCCCTGTATATATTTTAAATATTATCTTAATTCTGTTGTTATTTTGCAAACAGAGCAGGTTACATATAAGAAAACAATTATAAAATAATGGATATATCAAATAGAAGGCAGAATGGCAATTCTATTTTTAAAGTTGATGGATACTATAAACTTTCAGATATGCAAAATAAGTCAGTTACTTTAGAGACAAGACAACTGATCATTTACATACTTGCTGGAAGCCTAGAGAAAACCTATCAAAGCTCTGTCACTGACAAATCCTAGAGTGCTTCTCACTCTGGGCATAAAGTAAAGCTCTCCTTTTCAAGTCTGTATATTTTAAATATGACCAAGAATTGTTTTTAGTATATATGAAAAATAAATCCCTAGTCTAGATTTCACTGCTTACTTTATTGTATCACTTTATTCACTACCAAAAAAGACCCACAAGAAACAAAAACACACCCAAATTTCATATGCTTTACTACCCAAATATAACACTAGAGCAATTTTCCAAATCCAATTAAAGATTTTACTGTAGTGAAACCAACATTCATATTGGAAGATTAGACAAACATCTGCTTAGTAAACTAACCATGTTATAACAGGCATTTACTGTTGATAGTTACATTTTATGGGGTATAATTTGACATCTGAATCTGTATAATTCTCTAGTAGAGAAATTTATCTTATACATGAGAGGTTTTAGGACAGTTGACTAATCCCAAGCCACTGTGATATCAGCCAGTATGTATAAAAGAGCTTAAAAAACAAAGTCCAAAGACTTGGGTCCAAATCTAGACTTTATGCATAGTAAGTATATTGGCTCATACTAGCCATTTAACTACCAACATCCATGTCTTGCCTCATCTGTAATATATGGGAGAATAATAATTGCTGCTTTGCAGTATGCTCTTAGGTTGGAATAGTGCAGAAGCAACATTAAAAGATTTCACTGCTATGAATTATTTCATTTGATCAATTTAGTATTATCTTTTGAGTCAGGCAACGCTTTGTTCTGGAATGAATACTTAACATTGTAGGTGAGATATCAATCCCTCTGCTATTTCTTGCTCCTGGTCATTGATCAAGTTACTCAATCTTTCTAAGACTCCGTTTCTTCATCTCTGAAGTGAAGATAGTCTCTACTTCATGGGGTCGCAGTCATGATTAAATAAGATCAAATGTGTAAGGCATCTCCTGGAAGATGCCAGCTAAATAGCAAATCTTTTTTTCTCTTTTTTCAATGGGTTGATTGTAATGGTTGAGATGCTCAGTCATTGACTCTCAGTTTATTCCTTCATTTCAGTACGAAACAGAAATATCTATCTCAATAACCAACATTCATTATAGCAAACAGCATTGTATCCATTTGAAAGTAATCTCAGAACTTCAAACAATGTGCTTTGAAGAGCATCAATATTTGCTTACTTTTCCTTTAAGAATTAATTAAAAGCAAATGTCAGATTTTTATCAGAAAATTACATCAAGGTGACTTCTCTGGCTCATTTTAACTGTGTGACAATAACACTTTGATTTTAAAAAAAAAAAAAAAGGAGCACCTGAGTATCTCAGTGGGTTAAGGGTCCGACTCCTGATTTTGGCTGTGGTCACCATCTCAGGGTCTTGGGATCTAGCTCCAAGTCAGGCTCTGCCCTCAGAGGGGAGTCTGCTTCAGGATTTCTCTTCCTTTCCCTCTGCCCCTCCCCTGCTTGTGCTCACTCTCTCCCCCCCCCAAAAAACCAACCAAACAAACAAAAAAACCATGCTTTAAATGCAAATGTAATAAAGAAACCAAGAATTTAGGTAAGTTAAAGATTACCTGTTTCAAAATGCCTGCTGCCATTTCATGGCTACAGTCAAAGATTACATGGAACTCCTTGCCTCTTTTCATTTCCTTTAGTAAGGGTTTTGCATCCTTTGTATCAGCAGGTAGTTGACGGATTTTAAGCCTAAGATTATACCTTGATGGAGCTTTGATGAGCTCCTGCAATCGAATGAGACCTATAACGAAAAAAGGGGAGAAAAAGAATATTAGAGAAAAAACAGAGTAGGTCATAGAATCATAGAACATATTCACCTCAACACCTGATTTTCTTGACCATGTATATGTGCATTTCATGGTATGACCACTGAAATTCCTACTTCCTAACTCCACATCCCCAGTTATTTTTGTTAAAATGATCATTTCTCAAAATTCTTTAAGAAATTCTTTTACAAATTATGGAAGACATACATGATTACAAATTGATGTGAATAATTTAAATAAATAAAAGGATATAGAGCAAAATAATCTCCCTCTGTACCCCAATTCTGCTCCCAAAGCGTTGTCACAGTTAATAGCTTACAAATATTATTCCTCCATACATTTTCTATGCATTTCCACATATATACATAGAGCTTTGTTTTGTTTTGTATTTTACAAGAATAGTGGCTTGTGACAATGTCTTAAAAGTTGTTGTATGTCAGTAACTATTGTTCTAGTTCATCCATTTCACACTGTATTTTATAGCAGACGTAATTTATGTTATTATTCTCTGGTGTTAGAAACTCTGGTTACTTTTTTGTTTTTGTTTACAAGTAATGGGCTAGTAATTTGGTATATACGTAAGAGTAAGGTAACTTTCTTTAATAAAATAGACTCTAAGTAGTAGCCTGAACCATAATTAAATTAAAGAAATAAAACTTTTTTGTATTATTTGCTAGATATAACATTAACTTCAGAAATAAATATAACCACACACATTATTAGTAAAGCAAATATTTTCCTAGAGAAGTAGCTCCCGAGTATGTGTTTCAAAAATTATATCAAATTAGTAGATACATGTTTAATATATCACAGAACTGTAAGATATTTTTAATTAACAGAGACAAATCATCAGATTTATTCTTTTATACAAACTTCAAGTAATGAAACCCCTTCAAGAACTCATATAAAAGACCCAATATATAAAAAATGTGATAAGAAAAAAAGGATCATCTAATTCTATCCTAGCTTGGATCAAATTAAGCAATTTCCTTGTCTCCTCCTCCTACTCTTCTTTCTTATTTACCTTTTATCCCATCTCATCTCTGTATTTCTCTCAATTTCTATCTTCCCTGAAGAACTACCTTCATAAATATTAGTAGAACAAATAATAATAAAGGAATATATTTGTGAATAACTAATCTGGAGCTTTCTCTTTGTGAGTTTGTGTGTGTGTGTGTGTGCGTGTGTGTGTGTGTGTTACTTTATGGAAACTGGAATAACAGGAATAAAAATGTATCTTATTATGAGTAAAAAAACTGTATATTAAAATAACATATGATCCAGAGAGTAAAATCTAATTCTAGGACTTTTTTTCATTCATTTTTTAAATAAATAGACCTTCATACATATAATGGTACACTTCAATATGTTTCAACATAGTTAATAAAATTAACATGACTAGTTTTCAGTATTTGCATCCTCAAATGAGACATACAGTTTAAAAAATATGTAAATTCACAAATATACCTAGTATCTTTTGCTTTTAAAATATTGTTTCATAAAATTTATTTATTTTATAATTTTGCCATTTAAAATTCTATAAATAATATTACATAAATTACACAGTATACTACAATTGTCTCATTTTGTTTTATAAATTTAAATATTTACTAACTATAGTAAAATAAATATTACATAATTAACTGATATTAAAGGTACCCATTAAACATAATACAATTCAGTCTAGAGAATTAACATGTATATAATGACTACAGATGTTAACAAGCTAAACAAACATAAAAACAAATATTTGAATTTGTAATACCTGTAGTAGTTTAACACTGAACTTAGAAAATCCTCCAAAACATGTATAAAAGTCTATATATTTATTTGCACATGGGAATGCATTGCTTAACTACTTTTTATAAATAAACCAGAATATAATTGCAGGAAGGCAATGGCTCCCAAACTTTGGAAGGTATGACAGTAATCTATGAAGCTGGTTACAATCTAAATAGCTGAATCAGACTCTGCAGAGGATTACAGTCTTCCCAGGTGATTTTCCTGGTCATCAAAAAGTGAGGCCAATTTCCAAAGATAAGTCTGGTTTCAGCTAAGTGTCATATGGGAGTCACTTTTGAACCACTTTGGCATAACGATATTATAAGATAAGAACTATATTAGCTAGTAGCATAAGACAATAAAATAATTAATTCAAAGAATGAATTCCAACTTCATTAGGAAACATGAATCAGAAAACTGTAAATACAGCTGACTGTAGGAAAAAGAGAAAGAAAAGAAGACACCATTCATTTACTCCCACATCAAACAAATGTTTATTAAATTCTTACTATGGGTCAAGCAGTGTTCTAGATATTGGCAATACAATGAAAAGTAAAATAGACAAATTTCCTGCCCATATCATGTTAAAAATATGTGGGGGAGGGCAGGTAAAGGCTATTAAGCAGGCAATTATAAATGAAAAATGGCAAATAATATTCTGGTGGGGAAAATGCAATTACTGATGAAGAATACAGCAGAATCATTGAACTTGGAATGAGAATGCTCACGAAAATTACCTCAAAGGAAGTGACATTCAGTTAATACCTGAATAAAAGGAGTAAGAGTGGAAGGAATAGATAGGAAAAAAAAAGTTTTTTATACTGGTAGGGAGGTGAGAGACCGTGGGCAAAGAATCTTAAGAAACAAGGAAGAAGTGGTGACCAGTGTAATTTCAGAGGGCATGGGCTGCTTAAGAAGCCCATGTAAATTATTTCAGAGTTAAGGTCTTAAGGGTAGTGGAAAATGCCCACTTGGAATCCACATTTCAAAAGAATCACTCAGATGCCCGACTTGGTTAAGTGTCCGACTCTTGGTTTCAGCTCAGGTCATGCATGATCTCAGGTCATGACTGAACCCCATGTTGGGCTCCACACTGGGCGTGAAGCCTGCTTAGGATTTTCCTTCTCCCTCTCCCTCTAACCCCTCCCCTCTCACTCCCCCCTCGCTCTCTAAAAAAGAAAAGAACGAAAGGAAAGGAAAGAAAAGAAAAGAAAAAAAAGAAAAGAAAAGAAAAAAGAAAAGGAATCACTCACATTTTCAATATGGAGGACAGATCAGAAGAGCTAAAACTGGAGGAAGAAAGAGTTGGAAGGCAGTTATAATAAAGCAGGTTAGGAAAGGCCAAGATGTGTGTGCAGGGCAAGATGGTAGGGAGAGATAGAAGTGGATGGACCAGAGAGAGATTTTTGAGAAAGTACTGACAGTACTTGGTGAGGGAGAGGGCTGAGTCAGGGAAGTGTCCCAGGTTTCTGGTTTAGGCGGCTAGGGGGAGACAGTGCTTCCACTGAGCATGAGATCATAGGAGGATCAGGTCAGCTGAGGGTTCAAAGTGAGAGGAGTGATCAGCCATGTCAAGGGTTGCTAGTTAACAAAGAAATAATGGTAAACACTTTAAAATGTGTTTATTAAATTTAACTACAAAATCATTGATGACCTAGGTAAGGACAGTTCTACTAGGGTGGTTTGGGTAGATTATTGTGCCATTAATAGGAGTAGGAGGGAGGTAAAAAACAGACCCCTTCAAAACCATCTCCATGTATTTCCATAATGTAACTTAGTGCCCATCCTAATCAGATAGTGAAGAAACAGATAGGAAAATTCCGCTTCCTCCCATTAAATCAAATATTAAAGAAAACCTATGAAAATATCTTACAAATGCTTTTAGAGATCTTCAATTATTATTAAGAATGTAAGATGATATAAAACCCAAAATGTCTAAGAATTACCAAATTGGATTATCTTTAAACTTTTCCTAGCTCTGAATTTCTATTATTCTCATAAAATTATTTATATAGATGCAGAATGTTCTAATACTAACCTCTGCCAAATAAAGGCTTACTTATCTCAGAAGATTTTATACAAGTTAAATATAAATTTTGGGGATTTAGTCTGTCATTGTAGAAATAGCTTGGGTGTTGGTTTGAATCCCAGTTCAAAAACATATGATCTGCATGACTTTGTGTAAGACATTATATCTCTCTCTGCTTTGCCTTCCTCTTCTCTATAATAAGGTAAAACCATATATGTATTAATATATAAAACACCGAAAAAGGAACTGTCACATATCAGACTCTCAAAAAGTGGCAGTTGTCAATGTTTTTGTTATTTTTGCTAAGATTAGGAAAAATATATTTTTTTAAAAAGTGCTGGTTATTAAATCTGTCCTTGGAAGTTATTTTGACACTAATTTAGACTGAAAACCTAATAACATCAAAATTTTAATCGAAATTTTAAGAGATTAACTCATTACCAAAGAAAAAGGAGCTACATAGTTAGAGATTAGTCCAACAATTTTGAACTGAAAAATCCCAAGTGATTCAAAAAAATAGAAATTTTCAAAGCATAAAATCCACAAATAGTAATTGCAGAGTCCACCCTAACTATAAATACTGCCAAGTATTTTCAAGTCTCTTAAGAGCTCATGTGGATGGTCCATTGAGCCATCAGGTACAATAAATGTTTACTTATTCTCTTCACACACATATATCCCTGTTGGCATTAATGTAACAGATTTCAGTTTGCCAGATTCCCTGAGGAGTAATATTGAAGAGCTAAAATAGAAAAAAAAAAAAAATGAAAACAACTGCTGCTAGTAGGAACGGCCATCTCCTACTTAAGAATTAGAGTAAAATGTTGCTTTTATTCATTCATTCAACATGTATTTACTGCATGTCTACTATGTGCAAGACATCATTTCATGGATAAATATAGTGATTGGAATCATAGCATTTATTCAGTCTTGAACTGCATGAGATATAGTTTGACTTTGGCACTTTTTTTTTTTTTTAAGATTTTATTTATTTATTTGTCAGAGAGAGAGAGAGCACAAGCAGGCAGAGGGAGAAGATGCTCGGGGCTGAACAGAGGGAGAAGATGCTTGGGGCTGAGCAAGGAGCCCAATGCAGGACTCAGTCCCAGGACCCTGGGATCATGACCTGAGCCGAAGGCAGACACTTAACCAAATGAGCCACCC